CATAACTTACTTGCTGGACACAAGTTGTTTTTTATATTCTGATATGATGGAAGGTTTTTGATGGGAGAATGACATGCTCATTTTAACAGGATTATTTTGACTCATTTTGAGAATTGACAGTGGGTTGGGGAAAGTGTATCAGAGAGGCCAGTTCTCATACTGAAGTTATTGTGGCAGATGATGGTGGCTCTTGTTAAGTGCCTTTGAAATGTGCTGCCCAGGTAAATGGCAAAGTCTACTCTGGCCACAACTACAGAATGGTGGAAACGTTGCCTCCTATGTTGACTCAACAAAGCTAAGATGAAATGCTACCTCTTCTTTCCATCCTAGACTCCAGTTGATGCCTTCACTAGCCTCTATCCCATCACCATCCTCTTGAGATTTGAAATCTATTTGTTATCAAGTCCCTGAATTAAGCTACTAAATTTCTCTCTTTCCAAGATCTTTCTCTGCATGGAAACTTGTTCCTGCCATTCCTATGTTTAAAAACTAAGCTCTGCCTGTGTCTGCCTGCACTGACTTCTGCTTCCTCCAAACTGCCTCCCTCTTCTTGCCAATGCCATCTCCACTGGCTGTTTTCATAGTTCCCATTTAGCCCATCAGCCTCTGCAATTTGGCTCCCATCTGTGCCTTACCCCCTTGTTAAAAGTTGTTCTGATCAAACTCAACAATGGCTTCCATGTTGCCATACCCTAAAGATACCTTCCCGACCTCCTGACAACATACCTTAATGTCTATAGTCTCTTGACTTCTGAACTCAGTTTTCCTTGGATTTATTGCCACAATCTTTGGTTGTCCATTCTTCGCCTTCATGAATTCTTTCTTCTTTCTTAAGGTCCTTAACATGAGTGCTGACTTTCCTGCTTGGTTCACGGGACTCACCGCTTTGTGTGAATGTACTCGTCCGAGTTACTTCACCCACACCATGGATTTATCCATCAGGCGTGTGTATATACTGCTTCAAGCAACCTTATCTGCATCATGGATTTTCTCATCACTTTGTAGTTAATAATCTGCATGTCTCTGTCAATTTCTCTGATTTTTCTTCTGAGACTCAGATTTCTATTAAGTTCTTGTTGATACTGAATGCTCACAGATGTTTCAAATGTAATTTGTCCAAAGTTAAGATCATTAAGCCCCAACTTCTCCTGTAGGATATTACCTGGTGCTTATCACAATTTTGGTCAGCATCTCTCTCTCTCCTCTCCCCTCTCTGCCCTCTCCCCACTTCTCCATTCCTGCTTAAATTGTTTTACTTGAAATAACCTAATTAGTCTCATTGTCTTCACTATCGCCTACTTCAAATTAATCTGAGCATCTATCAGTAGTATGTGAAGCACAGATCTAGCTATTTCAACTACTTTAACTCCTAACTTTTTACCCTGTGCTTCATCACAAGGGTAAAACTCACATTTCTTTTTTTTT